TTACCAGCATCAGATTATTATCAGCATCAGATTATTATCAGCATCAGGACTTTGAACCTGCTGACAGTAAGGTGGTAGCTGTGATGGTCTGCAGCAGCAGCTCTGCAGGTGGAGCATTTAGCTTCAGATTGGTCATTTGCTGACACGCCTACTGGATTGATTGACAGGTCGCGTCTGGATCTGACTCGTGAAAAAAAAAAACACGAGAGCTGAAAAAAAGAAAAGTCTCGTACGACTTTATTCTCGTCATTTTATGGCTTTTAATAATGTCTTTCTTATCGTGGCCCTAAAGCTCTGTCGTACGTTACTGTTGAAGTCCAAACGTGAACATAAAGTCAAGTCAAATTTATTTGTCCAGCACATTTGAAACAGGAAGTGTTGCCAAAGATTGAAATAAAAACAGTTTTTTGATTTTGCAGCTGATCTGACAGCTCCAGATGTGCTCCTCTGGTTTGGTGCTGACCTCCTGGTTGGTCTTCCTCTCCGAGCTCAGAGCCTCCTGGACGCTGTTGAGTTCAGCCGCGTGCCTCCTCATCACCTCCTCTATGGCCTTCCGCACCTGCTCCTTCAGCCGCTTCCTGTCCTCCTCCGCCTTCTCCACCAGCCTCCTCTTCTCCTCCTCCAGCTTCTGCTGGACGTTGGCTCGCTCCGTCTCCACCTGCTCCATGTTCTTGTAGAGCTGGGAGCGGACCCGGACCCTCTCCACCTCCAGCTCTTTGCACATCCGATCCACCTCCTCCTCCTTCTCTCTCCTCACGCGCACCTTGAGCTCCTCCACCTCCTTGTGCAGCGCCTCCTTCTCCTCGTCTCTTTCTCCGCGCAGTCTGCTCCTGTCCTTCTCGAGCTGCTCCTTCTCCCTCTGCAGGTTGTCCCTCTCCTCCTCGGTCTCCTTCAGCAGCCTGTCCCTCTCGTCGTCGGCGTGCTTCTGGACGCGGCGCAGCTCCTCCGTCTGTGCTCTCACCATCTCGGAGCGCAAACTGGACAGGGCCTCAGCGTGCTTTGAACACACACACACACACACACACATCAGATGGAGCTCCAACAGCCCCGCAGGGTTTCACTCGTGTTACCTGTCGGATCTGCCGGGCGTGGTCGCTGTTTCGGCCGCTGCTCTGCAGCTCCAGCTCTCTGTTCCTGCTCTGCAGACGAGCCACCTGACTCTTCAGCTCCTCCAGCTCGGCACAAACACACACTTCACAGCCGCCGTGATTCAGCAGCTCCTCTGACAGACAACAAACACGCAGTGAACACGCCAACAAACACGTCCAAGCAACCGTGACCGTGAGAATTGAAACTCAGGGGTGACTTTAAAACAATCTGAAGGTGTGGATTAATAAATTATAGGCCAGGTGATTTAAGGGATTCAAACTGAAGCTTTATGTGATGGTGTTCAAGGTTTGTCACAAATTCACTGACCTTCTTTAATTTAGAGGTCAAGAATTAGATAAACAAATTTTAATTTTGCTTTGACTGGTTTGGTTTTGTCTGCTGGGTCAAATATACACACCAAACACTTTATTAGGTGCAACCAGTGAAATGCTAATGCTAATGTTAACACAAATAGCTAGTAAGCCAATCACAACAGACATGTGGACCTCGATGGTTTGAAAGAGAAAATATCCAGTGAGCAGCAGCTGCCGACAGAAAGACACGAGTAGCTCAAGAAAACACTCGCTCCAACCCAGGTCTGCAGAAAACCATCTCTGAACACACAGCAGGTCTCTCTTGCAAACGAGTCGTTGTGACTCAATGAGACTAACCTGTCTAAATAAAGCGCTCTCCAAACGTTTGGAAATTAAGAGTCCCGATTCACTGGACGTCAATCGATCACCTTTGGGACGTGGTGGAACGGGAGGTTCACGTCAGAGATGAGCAGCTGATAAATCTGCACCAACGCTGATGCTATCAGGTGGATTAAAACATCTGGACTGTTTTCAACACCTCCTTGAATTTTATGTCCTAAAGAATTAGAACAGTTCTAAAGACATTAGCGGTCCAGACCAGGTGCACCTAATAAAGTGACCAACAATGAAATATTTCCTGTGAGCTGGGACGAGCTGACCCCGGTGCCCTGCTTTAGATGTAGCAGCTTAGTCTAGAGCAGGGCTATTGAACTCCCGGCCCATGGGTGACTTCAATCCGGCCCACTTAATTAGTTTGTTTGTGGGTTTGGGTTTAGGGTTCTGTTTGATTCAATGCAATAAAATAAACACATTTAAAAGGTAAGAGATCATTGTAAACTTTAGTTTATGATTTTAATCACTGGACGTCCGCCCCCCTGAGCAGTTTAGTTGAATAGCCCTGGTCTAGAGAGACTGTCAAGTCCTGTATAATTTGACAGTGGATTAGACTTTCCATTGTTAAAAAAAAAGGATCATAATACCACGCCTCTTGAAGTACAGGTTCTGATGGTTATAATAATGAATGGGAACACTGGGTTTCTTGATTGAGTTCAGTATTTTCTTCAGAAATCAGAGGTCTGTTGTCAGTAACTAAAGAACCACATGGCACTTTATCAAGAAGGCAGCATGTTTTCACCTTGTTAGTTGGCTACAACATTTCTGTTTCAGTGGTCATGGCCCCCCGCGGGCCACCACTTGGCTGTGCCCCTGTGTGACGTGCAGACCCAAGGACTACCTGCTCTGCTCTGCAGCTCGTCCTCCTGCAGCAGCAGCCTCTCCTTGGCGACCGCTAGCTCCTCCTCTGCCCGTTTAGCCACGCCCTCCGCCTCCAGCACGCACTTTCGATCCAGCTCCAGCTCCTCCTCCAAATCCTGGGGGGGGGGGGGGGTGCAGAGAAAAGATAAGGGGTGATCAGAAAAAAGCAACAAATTCAACACAGAGGGAGAGAAAGAAGACAGGATAAAAAGAGAGTGTGGGTTGGAAAGTGACACGTGGGGAGTCAGGGAACGCTGAGCTCTTAATGGTCAGCTGTGGGGGCTCATGTCAGCTTTGTAACAGGCCTCGTGTGTGAGGAGCTAATGGTGGCTCTGCACCGAGTCTGTCCGGCTCCAGCTGCTCATTAGCAGATAGTTGTCAGAGGGAGCAGCACTCAGGGAGGGCAGCCGGTGGTTAGCCTAGCATGACCTCCTTCCATCAACTCCACCATTAGACGGTGGCGTCGAGTACAGGAAGCTGAAACTCTTCGGCTCATGTTTACTTCCTGTTGCTCAGAGCGCGCCCGTGTGCGTACCTGGATTCGCTCCTGAAGTTTCACCGTGCTCCTCTTGTTCTCAGCCAGCCTCTCTAAGTGGCTCTCTACCTCCGCTTCAGCCCTCTTCACTCGTTCTCGCAGGGCGCTGTGCATCCCTTTCTTCTCCTCCTCCTCCCTCTCCTCCCATCTCCGCCGCTCCTCCCGCCACGCAGCCTCTATCTTCTTCCTCGTGTCCTCCTCCTCCTCGGTTAGATCGATCAGCTTCTGCTCCCACTGCTCCCGCTCCTCTTTGACAGCTCGCCTCTTCTCCTCCTCTGCTTGCTCGCGCTCCTCCCTCAGTACCTTCAGCTCCTCCAGGAGAGCTTTCTCTCTTTCCAGGTCCCCGTTCTTTTCTGTCCTTCTCTCCTCCTCCTCTTTCTCCTTCTCCTCATCTTCTCGCTGCCTCTCGTCCAGTTTCCTCCGTTCCTCCTCGTCGGCTGCTTCCCGAAGATCCTCACATCTGGCGTTCAGCTCCTGGATCTGCTCCCCAACTCGCTCCAGGTCTTTGCCCAGCCTCAGGTTCTCCTCCTGCGCAGCACTGAGCTCAGTTTTGGCCTCCTGGAGCGCCTCCTCTGCAACCTGGAGCTTCTCCTCAAACTCTTTTCTCAGCTCCGCTTCAGTCTCGCGCTCCCTTTCCTCCGCCTGGATGCGGAAGAACTCGAAGTCAGCCTGAACCTGGAGGCACAGAGGATGTAATTAAAACAGTGGAATAATGAGCAAAAACATGTTTTATTACGAAGTTCAATATTATGTTTATGAATCTGATGACAGAAACATCTCACTGAAGTGGGAACAGGCACAACTAAAGGCTGTAAAGTTACATGGTACAAGTAAAAACCTCTGGAAGAGCATTTTGTAAAAACTATGTTGCTTGGCAGCAGCAGGTCAGTAAAGATGGGCAGAGGTTCACATCTGCAAAACATGTGGCAAAAGAGAGTGGAACAATCTCAGAACTACAGAAATTACATTTCCTGTGAAAAGTGTGAATGCTTGTTGCGGCATTAATGTTTTGCTGAAAGCTGCTGAAGAAGCTGAAACCAGCTGAAAAGGCTTCATCGCTGAACTGTTAGTGCGAGCTGAATTTGAACAGCTGACATTTGCTGAGAGCGGGAAAATAAAAGCGGAAATCAGCAGAAAAAAATTTCTTAAATGCGTAGAAAAAGCTGAATAGAGCAGAAATGCAGCAGAAAGGAGAATAATTAGATTAAATAGGCTGGGAGATTATACAAAAATCATAAAATCAGCAAATAAAGAGACGGAAATTAGCAGAAAAAGCTGAAATTGGCTAAAAAGTAGCTGAAAAGGCTGAAATTAATGCTAAAAGGAGCATAAAAAGTTGACATTGTTTTAGAAAGAAGTACAAAATGCTAAAACTAGCAACAAAAATAGCAGAAAAAGGAGCTAAAGTTAGCTGAATATTACCAAAAGGGTAGCTGAAAAGGCCGAAAAAAGCTGAATTTCACAGAGAGAAGAAACCGAACCAGAACCAAAGCTGAAATGAGCAGTAAAAGATTGAAACAGCCCAAAGAGGACGTGGAGAGAGCTCCGTTCATGTTCAATGAGAGAAACGTGGCTGAAACAGCTGAATATTCCCAAAGGTTCAAACTGAACACATGCCAAAAGTCACAGCATGAATGTCCTGAATGAGCCGAACGTTTTGAGACGTGAAGTGTTGAAATAAAACAAAAACTGCAGAACGAGATACATGCCGAAAAACGTAGAGAAGAAAAACGGAGGTCGATGGAGAGAACGATTTAGAAACATTCACACAAAAATGTTCCACATTGGAAAACTGTAAAAGCTTTGAAGATCCCACGACTTCCCAATCATCGCCTGTACACACAGTTCATTGTGCCATCCACAAATGCTGCTTAAAGCTCTATCGCACAAAGAAGAAGCCGTTACGTGGACACCGTCCAGAAACGTCTTCTCTGGAAGCTCGTTTAAAATGGACTGAGACAGAGTGGAGACCTGTTCTGTAGTCGAACGAAACAAAATTAGACGTTTGCTTTACAAGCCACTGCCCGGTGTGAGCGCACAGTTCAAACGCATGCTTCTCTGATGGTATGGGGGTGCACTATTCCTTACAGCATGGGCAGCTTATACATCTGGAAAGGCACCCAGATGTAATGATTTACAGGTTTCACATCATAAGCTGCCATCCAGACAACATTTCTTCCACAATGCTAAACGGCTTCTTAGTAGAAGAGAGCTGAAGTGACCTGCCTGCAGTCCAGACTCTCATCGAGTGAAAACATTTGATGCGTTCTGAAACGACTCAGGACTGTTGTACAACTAATCCTCCATTAACCAAGAACGGGACAAAATTCTTTACAAGACCTCCAACAAACGGTCTCCAGAGTTTCTAGACGTGAACCGATTCAAAGAAGAGGAGATGCTTCACAGATGTGCACCTGGTCCAGTCTTAAGGTGTTGGAGATGAGCTGCTGCCATCAAACTAAAAAAAAAGTATTTAATCCAGAAATCGGTAGTTTCTTAGTTAAAACATCTGTTATATTTACTGTTTCGTTGTGAATAAAATGTAGTTTTAGAGGTTTGACAATCATTGAACTCTGTTTTAATTTGCACACAACATTTCATGTTTTTAAGTCTGAGTTGTTTTATTTCACTTTAAAGCCGCGTCTCAAACAGAACATCGTGAAAAAGTTCTACATTTTTCATTTCAGAAAGTCATTTATTACATAGATTCATTACACACAGAGTGAAATATTTCAAGCCTTTATTTCTTGTTTTATGATGATTATGGCTTACAAATAATGAAAAACCCAAACTCAGGGTCAGAAAATTAGAATATTCCAATACATCTGCGATTACAATTCAAATATTTCACTTTGTGTGTAAAAAATATTGAACTTGTCCACGATGTTGTAATGTTTTTAGATGCACCTTTAAACATTTAAGACACTTTTATATCTCACCGTTAATGCATTTTTGCAGGAATAATTAAAAAAAAAGCTACATTTTATTTCAAAGACGTTTAAGATCTGAGGACTGTGTGCAGTGAGCAGCATGCGAGCGCTTTGAAAATGACCCGACTGTTGCCAGAAAGAGCAATTAGTTGCAGAGTTTTGACATCCGAACATTACAGAGTTTGTGGCAAAGCATCATTACCAGCCCACGCTGTGAGGCCAGGCAGGCTGAAGACAGAAACACTTTTATTTTTTAAATTCTGGCTGCTTTAGTCCCTGATGAGTGAAGACGCTGCGAAATTACACTGAAAATAAAACACAAGGTTTTAGATGCTGTCAAAATATAACGTTTTAATAAAACAGCTCACCAGATGTTTAAGTTTATTACAGCCATTTTAAAACTTTATCATTAAAATGAATGGAAATGAATCATTGAATCATTTTCTCCGAGTGTAAATGAATCTGTTTGTTGATCAAATGTTTTCACGGCTCACAGCGTGGGCGCCTTCAGCAGCCGCGTCAAGTTGAATATTTATGTCAGGTTGTCACATTTCTTCCTTTTCAGACAACACAGCTCACAGCGCAGACTTAACAATTAGACGACAAGTCGAATGTTCAGATTTAGAGACGTGGACGATCCTGCCCCGGATGTCTGAAGGAGACCGAGCACCGAGACGCAGGCAGCAGATTCTTAAAACTGGTCTCTATGTCCAGATCAGTGCAGAGTCTGCAGCTTTCCCCCGATTCAAAGACCACTATCTGCAGAATAGAAAAGTCCAAGTTGATGCAAAAACATCCCTGGGAATAAATAACAACGCGTGTGTTTCTGTCCATGTGAGGTTGGACTGGAATATTCTTTAAACGGGATCATCTTTAAAATGTCCTGTACGACCAACCTGTGAGGATCTGTGCTCTTCTTTTATTTATTCAGGTTTTCTTTATATTTCTGTGTGAATGTTTAGAAATCATTCTCACTATTGAGATCCATCATCCTGTACGAGTTTCAACAACGTTCTGTTAATTTTTTTTTGTCTATTTCGACAATTCATGTCAAAACGTTCGGCTCCTTCGGGACATTCCTACTGAGACTTTTGGTATTTGTGTAATTTTTACTTTTTGAGATATTAAGCTTTGTCGGCCATCTTTTTCTTTTAAAAAATGACCTACTTCTTCACGTCCTTCAAACCCTTTGAGCTGTTAACAACCTTTTACTGCTCATTTCAAAAGTCAAAGTCACTTTATTGTCAAAAACTGCAATATGTACAGCCCAAACACAGGATTGAAATTACATTACTCTCAGACCCCGGTGCAACAATAACCATTTAACATTAAAACATTTAATAAACATAAGCATAAAATGAAATAATAAAAGTATGATACTGTCATTTCAGCTTTGTTGTGCTATTGTTCTGCTTCTTTCTGTTAACTTCATTTTTTTCCTGCTTGCAGCTGCTTTCTAGGTATTTTTTCTTCAAATTTTATCTCTTTTTTTTTTTTTGCCTTTTGTGCTTCTTCTAAAAATTTTAATTGTATGCATCTTTCAATTTCAATTTCAGCTTTTTCAGCTACTTTTTTTGCTCATTTCTGAGTTTTTCTGTGCTAATTTTAGATTTTTATTATTTTTTTATTCAGCCTCTCTATGCACAATTCAGCATATTCTGCTCATTTATGCACTTTTCAGCTTTTATTTTCCTGCTTTCAGCAAATGTCAGCTGTTCAAAATCAGCTCACGTTACAAGTTCACTCATTCAGCAGCTTTCAGTAAAAATCTTTCAGCAACAAGCGTTCAGTTTGCATGTTCACAGGAAAGGACATTTGTCTAGTTTCCCTGTAGTTTCCTGTGTTGATCAGCTCTCCTCAGCGTTTTCTGACTGCTCCTGCCTCGCCCGCTCTCACATGACCTAGCTGTCTCTCTCCCAGGTCATCAGGCCATTAGTCCTGTGTTTTTACATTGTAAGGTCTGGCCCTGATCGGCCTGGCGCAGGTCTTCCCTGGTTCTGCGCAGCCTTGGTTGTTTTTGCATGTTGGCCAGATCATCACGGCAAAACCGGTGTAAATCAAGGAGCTCGTGCTGTCGATCGTCGTCCTCTCATCAAAAAATGGTTCAACCAGAGAAGAGAAATAGTGTTATGTGTTGTCATCACTGTATTTTCCCATATGGTGGTGAAATTGGCTCTCTGCAATTGACCCATACACCACCAGGTGGAGCAGTGGGCAGCTATTGAGGGTGCCCAGGGAGCGATTGGGGATAGGGTGTCCTGCTCAGGGACACCACAAGATGTGCAATGACTGGGGACTGAACCCAGGGCCTTCGGGTCCCGAGTCAGCTGCCCTGCCTCTAGACCATCTCGGCCTCCCTGTCACTCAAAGAAACACAGCAGATACACTGATGAGAGTGCATGAGGACGTACAGCAGCATCACGCCCATACAGGAGTGCAAGTCGACGTAAGAAGGTAAGCTAGTGCTAGCTAATGTTAGCTTGTTGCTTCTAGTTGTGCATACACCGCAGGCATGAACTGATCAAAGTCCTGCAGCCTGTTGACGTCAGACCTTCAATGGACCTCTGGATCTCTTATGGCCTTTATGCATTGTAAGGCCCGGCCTGGACTGGCCCGACCCAGGTTCCGCGCCGGGTTATGAGTGTTGGCATTGGGCAGTCTGCCCCAGTTTCAGCTCCTCTTTTGGAACCCAGAGACCTGGGGTTCCATTTGGGCTGGGCTGGTGCTGCAGATTTGATGTCAGCAGACTGCTGGCCATTGATTGGTTCACTAGCTGTGTGTGTGTGTGTGGGGGGGGGGGGGTTCAGGTCACTGGCGAATCATACTTCCAGCGACTGCTCCTTACTGCCATTTCCTGCAGCTACTGCTTCTGGCCCGTTGTGTGATAGAGAGAGATCCTATTTGTCTTTAGAAAAAATGGCACCGCAGAAGATGGCACCGGGGACCCGGACAAACGACGAGGCACAGTTACTGCTGAGCTGAGATTAGATCATCTCGACCACATCGAGGTGGCACTCTGCTGAAAGCAAACAAAACCAGGGCAGACCAGGCCGACTGCAGCCGACCCAGACCAGACCTTACAACGCAAAAGTGTTTAGGAAACCTTTATATTCTGTTTTCATCTTTGTTTGTCACTGGAGCGGTGTGTTCTCTGTAACCACTCATGAGTTAGCCCTCCTGAGCTTCCACTGTGGGTTTTGATGACTGTTGTTTCTCAGCTGCCACAACAGCACGTTCATTCTTATTAATCAGTCGTTATTGATTTTATTTCTCAAGCTCCCTGTGTCTTGTCTCATGACCAATAACCACGACACAACCCTAGAACTGAGAAAGGGAGTACTTTCTTTTTCACAAGACTGAATTCTATCTGCTTTGAATTTGAATCAAATAAAGACAAAATATAAATTAAGTAACTAAGATGGCACATTTTGGGAAAGTTTATTTTCCAAAAACGTCCCCAGATAAGCAGCACGGTGTTCGGGGTCTCTGTTGATGTTTGGTCGTGGAACACGAAGTAAAACTGAGCCTGAAACAGGAAGTCTCGCCTGTGACAGTTTTGATTTGTGGCTCCAGCTGGGAGTTTACTTCTAAACGACACCGGTCCCAATCACGTCACTGCCTGAACAGCCGAGAGCGTAACACTGCACCAACCCACGTGCACATACGAGTGAAAACCTAAACCGAGTGGGACGACCCAGACGTGGCCTGCTGCCACGGTGCTAGACTAAGATCCTATCATGCTGATGAGTTGTAGTCAGACCTTAAAACGATGTTATGCAAACGTCATGCTAAAAGAACGAGTAGTGATGACTCTCAGCAACTACCACACCAAATATTATCCCAGTATCTGTAAAACTGACCGAGTCACAGGTGTTTGTGTTTGCTAAGATAAACTAGTGGCCATCCTTAACTGGAGTGACTCCAAAAACAAGACCGCCCAATTATTATTTTTTTACGTTCCATTAAGTTCTACCAAGTGTTTCATGAGATATTTTGCTAACAGACAGTGTCAACTCCAACAGTTATTTTACCATACCATATATATTTTTATTTTATACCATTTATTTTGGACTTGGGCATTGATTGGAGATGACTCTCAGCTTTACAGTCACACCAAACATCTGTAAAATGAATTGGCTGTAGTGGTAGAGTTGGCTATAGTGGCCATCTTGATTCGGTTGATTCCAACGGTTACCCAGTTGTAGATGTCCACCTAATGATTATGTGGAAGAGAAATTATAGTATGTTATGATTACTTGCAAATGAAGAAATGTTATTTTGGTTACAGAATCATAAGTTCTGAACTGGGGGGACAGAGCAGCCATGGGTTGTGAAGCTCATCTTTAGTGACTGGTTCTGCACGCTCGGATCACGAGCACCTCCTCAAAGCTGATTGGCGCACAGGCCTGACTGCACAAATCACGTGCCTCCTAAAGGTTATATAGACTTTCTGCTTTGTTTTTGACTCCTGCCACAACTTCTGCAGACACTTTGTACTCTGTCAAACTTGTGATCTGCTATATCGCTTAATAAATGTTAGAAAAAAAAGTCTTATTTATATCTCGTAACAACTGTAACAGCATTGTCCCACCTGGGCACCAACTCGCTGCTGCTCATCCAGAGACTCCTGCAGCTCGAGGAGGCGTGTCCTCAGCGCTGACCCCTCCCCCTCGTGGCACGTCTCCATCAGGATACGGTGCAGCTCGTCGTGGTGGGCGTGGCTTAAGGCCTGCAAGGCTGCCTCTTGTTCCTCGTTCCTCATATTCAGAGAATAAATCACCTGGAAAATATCAACAACAAAAAAATTAAGGAAAAGTACAAAGTGCAAATTCTTTATTTGCCATTTGTGCACAGAGCAACAATCCAGGCACATTGGAATTATTGTGCGGAGCTTCTCTGTCATAGTAAAATAAACACTGAAACAACACTAAATAAATAAAATAAAAAGAAGAACAAAGTGGTTTCTATCTACACTGAACAGAAAGTAAACCAAGTCACATGACCAGTGAAGTTAGGTAGTGTAGGGTTATTATTGCACCTGATCAGTATTGTTTTTCCATCATTTGACTGTGGCAGGGAAACAATTATTACAAAACCTTGTCCTATGGGTGAGGATGCTATCTGCTCTACTGTGTCTCAGGTTATATGAACATTTTTTGTGTCTGATAAGAGAGTGAGCTGGATGAAGCGAGTCCTTGATGATTCCAGCTGCTCTTTTTTGACAGCGCTGTACAGGTACATACATCAAGTCCATGGAAGGAAGTTTTGTTCCTGTGATCCACTCTGCTGTCTTTATGACTCTTTGCAGTGCCTTCCTTTTTGCTTGTGTGGTGTTCCCATACCAGACAGTGATGCCTGTGGTTAGGATACTCCCTATCAGTCCTCTATAGGACTGGGTGAGAGGGCACTGGTTCAGACCTGCTTTCCTGAGTGAGCAGCCTAAAGAAGTAAAGACTGTGTTGGGCTTTTTTCACTGTGGCTGTGGTGATGATAGATCTTATCAGGTCCGATGTAACCTTCAGTGCCAAGAATGGCTGTCAGCTCTCCCTACCTCAGCCTTTTTAATGATAAGAGGCTGTAATGGGGGAAGGTTCTTCCTGAAGTCCAATATGATTCATTTGGTCTTGTCTGTATTGAGGATGAGGTCGTTCTCTATATGTTATAATGTTGTCTACCAGAGTCCTGTAGCCTGACTCGTTCCCCTCCTGGATGAGCCTCAATACAGAGGTGTCATTAGCATATTTCATAACGATGGTGTTGTGCTGAGTGGAGACGCAGTCATAAGTGTACAGGGTAGAGTTTAGGGCTGAGGCATAAGCTGTGACAACTGGGTCCCCCTCCTTAACGAACAGATCAGGAGGGAAATACGATAAAAAAATCAACACTCACTGGGTTTTTAAGTTAGATTAAATCAATTTTATGTTAGCTAACGTTACAATAGCAACAACACCTGTTGGAAAATACCCAAACGTCCACGTACGTAGATCTCTACTGATCTGGGCTCCTCTGTCTTGCCAGCTTATGCCGTCCCTCTGCAGAGTTTTTCTTATTTTGTTGTCACACTTCCATGGTTCAGATCAGGAATTAATTGTCCCTGAACCCAATTACTGGTTGTGCCAACCCGTGGCAGCAACAACAACAGTCGAGGGTTTGCAATGCTTGGCGATGAGTCTTTAACATGGCTGCTGTGTTCTGGATCATCGAGAACCTAAACGTTCTTGAGCTTCAGGACAGACTGATGGTTGGACGTTCTCTTTCAGGATTTTTCTGGTAGAGAGCATAATTCATGGTTCCATCCAGGTCCTAATGCAGCCCCAGACCATCACACTACCACCCCCATGTTTCACTGTTGATATTATGTTTTTCTGAAATGCAGCATTAGTTTTGCACCAGATGTTTTTAAAAGTTTCCTTTTTGTGTCTTCACTCCACAGAACATTTTCCCAAATGTCTTTGGGATCCTCAGGATGTTTTCTGGAAAATGTGAGACGAGCCGTTGTCTTCCCTTCGGTCAGCGGGGGTTTTGGACATGGAAATGTCCCAAGGATAACATTTTTGCCTTTCTTATTCTTGAATCTTGAACTCTGATCTTACCTGAGTCAACAAAGACCTGCAGAGCTTCAGATGTTGTTCTGGGACCTCCTTATGTTCCATACTACGTCTCCTGGATGAGTCACTGGGCTCTTGGACTAATGTTTGTCTGAAAACACTCCTGGAAAGAATCACCACTGTTCCATGTTTTATCCATTCCCCTACTTAAGTGCTTTCTTTATTCTACAGGTCTGTCAGTAATCAGGCCTGGGTGTGAAAAAGCATATTCTGAATTTATTCGAGTTAGCTTTGATATGATCATTTGTTTGCAGACAAAAGAGCGAAAACAGAAGAAATCTGTGAGGGCAAACCATTTTTCACAGCACTGACGATACAAAGCAGCTGCTTTGACAAACTGTGTGCATCCACTGTTACCACAATCCAGTTTCACACGGTGAGCCCGGCCGACACGCGCGACACTCTCTCCCGCTTCCACATATAGAACATGAGCAACACTCTGCATGAAATATGGCCCGTTCCTCCACACACGCTTCACTTTAACCTCTATGCCATGCAGCCAGTGTCATCAGGAGCATCTCCCGGTGACCCTGACGTCTCACTTACCCACTTCCAGAAGTGTGTGTGTGTGTGTGTGTGTGTGTGTTTGTGTTTGTGTGTGTGTGTGTGTGTGTGTGTGGGCAGGAGACCCACAGGCTCATATTTTACCCAGACGCCTCTCTGTCTGCAGCACACAGCTTGCCCAGTCCTGATGGACATTCTGTCCATGCATGCGGTGTGTGTGAGAGGCGACATGTTGCCAATGTCTCTTATACACACACACAAACAGACGTGTGCACACGCACTATAATCTAACAAGTAAAGGTACTTGTCGTGTATTTCCTGGTTTAGACTGTCTCTTGGATCATGTCAGTCAAACATAAGTCCAGTTTGTCACATTGACTCATCTGTAAAATCACAGTGAATGACCTTTGCCTCGACAACAGTGACTCAATAGAGTTTTGAAACAACGACAGGCTCTGAGAGGGGTGTGTGTGTGTGTGTGTGTGGGGGGGGGGTTCTTGGTTGGCCTCTTGAGTCTTTTTGAAAGTGAAAGCAAGAAGAGCCCTGTGAGCGACTGTTTGACAGCAGTTCTTGTCAGACTCCTTAAGGATGCAGACCAGCCAGGCACTGACATCCTGAAGGAGCAAAACGCTTTGTTGATTGTTGAACACCAAGGTGCTATTAAAGTGTTGAAAAGGCCGAACCTCTTCAGGAAAGAGTTTGTAACTTTGGCTGCAGGGATTTAGTTTGCTCAGCTGTCAAACCATCAGGGAGTTGAGTCGTGATGCAGGCTGATGTGAACTGGCTCCAAGTCAGAACTGACATTTGTGCTGGACGGCCCCAAGATCAGGACCAGGGGTAGACCAGGGGTAGACCAGGGGTATAGGCAACTTTTTTTTCAAATGGCCAAATCAAGATATTTGAAGCAATCAAAAGGACGCCACAAGAATTAGAAGATACATTTTCTTTAAGACAGATAACAGTATCCAGGCTTGGTCATTTTGTAGCATAGTTAGCACGCTTGTTAAAATTACGTCTCCCCAATACGCTTTAAGAATACACACATGCTTTTATGACAGCAAATTTGTTTGCTTATAATATCCAAAATCAAAATGGGTACATGTTCAGTTCAGTTCTGGAAACACGACTTCAAAATGTGTTAGCCTATCTTACTGGTAGTCCAAATATTTTTGATGTATTTGCACAAGATGTTTAATTTAGACTTCCTTAAGTTTCATTCATAAAATTCAAGTTTTCGTCAACTTATTTAAAACCTGTTTTCCTTTTCAATTAGGGGCATTGGGGCTGGATGAAGATTGTCCGAAGGACCCAATTTGGCCCTCAGTCCAGACATTGCCTGGTGTAGACCAGTTAAGTTGCTCCACACTGAAGATGAAGAACATTTGATACCTTCTCAAAGCAGAATCTTTTGGGAGCTTTCAGAGTTTTCTCTGGTCTGAAATGGTTTTATAACACTTTCTGATGTGTAGAAAAAAAAAACAACAACTTATTTTTGCCATCACGGCTGTAAAACCTCCCAGCTGTTGATGCCTTTATCTTTACAAGACCAAAATGATAGCCAGTTTTTATAACCTCTATAAAATGTACTAAATTTGCCCATTTCATGTTTACTCTGCCAGATTTGTAAATCTGTAAGTCTGTTGGTGGGTTTAGGGTTTATTCAATCAACCTTTATTTAGACAGGTAATCCCATTGAGCCTCGAGGACTCATTTACAAGAGAGACCTGATTTCAACAAAGAATGATGACAACAATGGACAACAGCAACAACAATAAACAATTATAAAAAGTCATACTGCAGTTTTTTGTTTGTTTGTTTTTTACAAATAGGATGGCTAAAAGAAAAAGGTAACAAAAAAACAGCTAGATTCTAAGGCGAATGTAGAAAACTAAAAACAGGAACATGGTGTAGAGGCAGGGCAGCCGGCTTGGGACCCGAAAGTCCCAGGTTCAATCCCCAGTCACTGCACGTCACGTGGCGTCTCTGGGCAGCACACCTCTTCCCCAAAATGCCCCCCCGGGCGCTTTCAATAGCTGCCCACTGCACCACCTGGTGGTGGATGGGTTAAATGCAGAGACTAATTTCGCCATTGTATGGAAACATACAGTGCTGACATTGTGATGACATTATTATTATTATTATTATGTCTGCGTTGGTCCCTGCCAGGAGTCCAACAGGTTCTTAAAGCCACTTAGAGAGGTCATGGTCGAGAGCTTCAATTGTTTTTGTAAGGTATTCCAGGAAACAGGAGCGGAGTAGGAGAAGGCCCTTTTGCCTAGTTCAGTCCTCATTGAGGGAACACTGCAGGTAATAATGTTCTGAGAGCGCACGCTGTAGCTGCACTCACACAGAGACATGTAGGAGGAGATGTATGAAGGCAGCAGACCAAGAAGTGATTTAAAGATGAAAATGTACCAGTGGGAGAGTCTGCGTGAAGTTAATGATGTCCAGTTAACCAGTGAATACAGGGTGCAGTGGTGGGTACGATAATCACAGCCAGTTATGAATCTTAGTGCACCATGATAGACAGCATCCAACATCTGCAGGGTTCTTGTAGGAGCGTTCATGTAAATAATGTTACCGTAATCAATGGAGGGAAGGAAAGTCACAGATACAAGGCGTTTTCTAGCATTCAGAGTTAGACAGGACCTGTTTCTGAAAAAGAAAC